CTTTTGATGTAGGTTCCCTCTTGAAAGCTTGTAAGCCAGTCACTTCTTGCCTTTGTATTCCTCCCCTCCCTCCCCCTCTCCCCCCATTTTAGGTAGCCAATGTCCCCTTTGTGTAGTCTTATCTCCAGCTAAATGTTGTCTTAGTTTTTTGGATTTGTTTTTTTTTTTTGTTTTTTTTTTTGCAATGAGCACAATTTTACCTATGTATCTATTTCTTTATTTTTCTTCTCCTTCACCCAAATTAGTACATAGTCCTGGTGTGACTTTATAGAATAAGCGCTTTACTGCTAACCACAAGGTCAGCAGTTCAAACCCACCAGCTGCTCCTCAGAAACCATATGCAGGGTTGTTATGAGTTGACTTAATAATAGCAACAACAGTCCTTTTGTTGGGAATTTAGCCTGTCTTCTCCTCCCCTGGTAACAGTCAAATAATGTTCTTTTTGTGCAAATATATTTTGCTTAAAACCTTTATATAATAGTTTATATAAAGTATAGTATTTCTCTTTTCGTGATTGATTTATTTCTCTCAGCCGAGCATCCTCCAGGTTCGTCTGTATTTTTGCAGATTCACTGTTGTTCTTTAAAAACAACAACAACTTTTTATTGTGAATTGGGTGAATGTTTACAGAGCAGATCGATTTTTCATTCAGCAGTTCATATGCATTTTGTATCACGACATTAATTGCAATCCTCACAATGTAGCATCACTTGTCCTGCTTCTTCTCTCTACTTTGTTTCTACTCTTCCTTCTCTCCTAACTCTTCTGAACTTTTTCCTTGTGTACATGCTACCCTTGGTTGTTAATTCTAAGGCATATCTCCCTAGTATGTTTGCCTTACAAACCTGCCTATTGTGTGACTGAAAATTGAGCCATGGGCCTGAGTTCATTTCCAGAACTGAAGGGTGACAAAGGGTTAAAGTCTTAGAGGTTCCACCAGTCTGTGTCTACCTAGTTAGCCTGTTCATTTTTATGATTTTGAGTTTTGTTCCACATTTTCTCCAGTGACATTATGTGATTCCTTTCAGAACAATTGGTCATGGTATCAGACACCACCTAGTTCTTCTACTCTCAGGATTGTGGACACTGATGTCTGCATGGTCAGTTAGTCCATTGGACTAATTATTTCTTAGCATCTTTGATTTTCTTTGCTCTTCTTTCTTTCAGACAGGGTGAGACCAATAGTTATA